GTTAGGTTTAAAAGAGTCGTAGTAACTGCCGCGCGGCGACTGGCAGGCGATGCCTCCATATAGAATAGAATTTCTCGAGCTGCCTGCCGCTATCTCCACCATGTCATCAAGTGTGTGTCGTATGAAGCGACAGAGGGAAATGAAAGTGGAACTGAGCAGCAGCGTATTACTGATTATCAAATAATTAACTGTGACCACAGTCATGACAGTCTACCAGCCAAGTGTGATAACTAAGACAAATATACCACCTATGAGGCGTATTTTATTTTATAGTGGAGACCTATGTTTAGTAGTGGTCTTTCTTTGATGGGTGGTAATGAACGTTGAATAAATAAACTAACTTATATACATACTTAGTACATACGTTGAATAAATAATTAGGTCCTATGCCTTTTACATGGAAAAGACCATATGGGCTGTTACGGCCCTTTTACTCATTTCTGCCGCCAAGTTAACCTTTTAAATACACACACTTATACATACAACTGTGGGTATCCACGATTTTTTCTAACACTAGCGCGGCGCCATATAAGAATGTAGTGAAATATTTGACAGTTTTCATAGCGCGGGAAGTTATTTCTAATTTATTTTATAAAGGGGGAATCTATTTTTGTTTGAAATATGTAAGGGTTAAAGTTTTTTTCTGAAATATTGATGATATTGTTATCGAATTATTAGTTTTTATATTATCTATACAAATAAATAAAATTAAAGTGTCTGCTTGTAATCTCAAAATAACAGCTTCTTACTAAATGCACATGAAAGTATTTACGGTACTTATTACAAAAAAACAATATTTAACATTTTTGTCTTGCGAAGTCGCGGGGAACAGCTAGTAACTAGCTGTTCGTAACTAGCTGTTATTTTGAGATTACAAACAGACACTTCATTTTTATTTGTTTGTATAGATTAATTAAATAATGGATAAATCATATTACAGATATACTTAAAAGTAGAAACATCGTTTATGAAAACCAGCGTAAAATAGCAGCTTAACGCTGCTGTGTTTCGTATGGTGAGTGTAGAGAACCGGAGACCCTTTTTACTGGCAAAGAGGCATTCCATCTTACGAATAGTCCACACGGGTGACAACGCATCTGCATCTTGAGTCTTTATTGAGGATAGATGTAGATGTCTATGGGTCACAGTAACCACTTACCATCAGGTGGACTGTGTGCTCGTTTGTCACCCGATCCTATAAAAAATAAAATAAAAAAAAAAGTTAAAAAATGTCCATAAAATTGAAAAGCAAGCCACTGAGGCATTGTTATTGTGTCTACACACTCTAGAAACCGATAATTTACACACTCTATAAGACATTGTGTAATAAATTAATTCACCTTCAACTACAAGCGTCATCTGGTGTGCTTAAAGTTATTAGCCATCATTATAATACTGCTATAGCTGCAGTATGGTTACGTGAAGAGACCCGATAGAGTCGAAAAAATGTGGTAGAGTAGAGCCACGCTGCAGGTGTATTACGGCTACAGTACGAACAGGAGGGTTCAACCAAAGAAAGACGCTTGTTCAGAATATCAGCGTAAAATACAGATACATTTTATGCTGTTAATGAGTTAAGTAGCAGCATAAAATGGGAACATTGTGAAAAAATAACTACGGAAAATATAATGATTTTTTTATATGGATTTACACTAAGATTTGGTGATTCATGTCCGCAATGTTTTTTGGTAAAAGTAACTTAAAAATGAAAATGATAAAATCAATTTTATTAGCTTTAATCAATATGCCGATGCCCACTATTCAGACATAGCTTATGCAGTAGCGTATAGCAGCGCACAGTTTATAAAGTGAGGTGCTTCCGGTATAATTAGCAATCCTGAAATGTAAACGAGAACACAACAAAAATTAAACGAAGCGAACGAAAGGAAGAGTGATCAGAATATCTCATTGCATTGCTGCGGGTTCTGGCTTTTTATTTACAGCCATGGCGGTGATAGAATTTAACTACCCTGACTGAAAAAATGGCCGCAATAATTGTCGCTGCATGTAGATAAAATGTTATATGTAAAGGTGATCAGAAATTAAATTAACATTTTCCAAATGTATACTTTGTGAGGGCAATGATGCCATTAAAAGATGGCCTATGTCTCTATACCTTTAGTAGTAATTTTTGTCAAAATAAATAATAAGCCCGCGTGAGTAGTGTAGTTGTACCACTTCTAGACCACCTGAGTCAGACGTGGTTCAACGACGTTCGTCGACGCCCGATCCTAAAAAAAAAAAAAAAGGTTTTGGCATGCTCTGATCACGAATCCGCGGTCCATTTTTGTGTAGAATGCACGGTTCCGGAGATGTGTAGATCAATTAGCTAATATCTAATTGATATCCGGTAAGGGTCTCCACCGTCATTAGCGTCCCATTGTTCCTATTTCTATTGTACTATTGTTCATTAATCACCCTCATTGCAGCGTGTGCGTCGACTATATCAGTGCTATTGTTTACTATAATTCTTTGTTTATACAACGCTAATCTGAATCATCAATAAAACACATTACATAATTTTGTTACAATTTTTATTTATAAAATACAAAATCTTATTAATTATTATCTATAAAATAGGAGCGAAACATCTCATCCACTAAAATATCGTTGTACAATGTGTTCCTTGTAAATATACTCGTAAAACTATGTATTGAACATCCTTGAAACTTATATAGTAAATACATTAAGCAATATTCGCCACAAACTGAAGTCCACTCATTCTGAATCCTATCAACATTCCAGTTCCATCTTTTACAATTCCTTTTTAAAAACTCTAGATGATATCGTACAGGTGATCGTCCATATGAATCAAAATATTGACCGACGTCATTCGTATCGATATATAAAGCTACCCAATGTGACCCTGGTTTATCATCTGTATCCAAATTACATATTATATACGTTGGTACGTGGGTATACATAGGCAGTCTATTAGCTGCATAAACATTATTTTCTAGACTGGGGTGAATCTTTTTCAGATGTTGTTGTACATCTAGTGTATCCATGATATTACTGCTATTAGTAGATTATTACAGTACCTAGCTACTCAATGAATAACATAGGAATGGTCAATTATAGTGATTTCTACATATTAAATTGCATTTTTGTGATATACAAATCGTACTTGAGTCATTGATCACCAAACAAAACACAATACGAAGAAATGTTGAGATAGGCAACGGAAATGTGAGATAAACTGATATGTTTCTAAATATTAAATTGCATTTTTGTGTTATACAAATCGTACTTGAGTCATTGATCACCAAACAAAACACAATACGAAGAAATGTTGAGATAGGCAACGGAAATGTGAGATAAACTGGTTGACGCATAAAGTAATTATCAACTCATTACGGAAATACTTTAGATTAGAATTTTTACGTACTGGTGGTATATAAGACCAACAAACGCAGTCATCGAGTTAGTGTACGGTCGTTTGGCTACAGTGGATCTATCAATAGTACATTTGTGTTACTTCAATACACCAAAGGCTATGGATGTAAGTGTTTATTCTATTGACTAAATTACTTTTTTTCTGTTATTTTCATGTGTGTGTGTATTATTTTATTTAAATATTGTGTATGTATATGATTAAGCCGTGGTAACTCAGATGGTTAGCGCTAGCTGTAAATTTCACAGTACGCGACCCGGGTTCGATCCCCGCCAGCACCAATTAAATTGTTAATAGCAATTTTAAGTGCTTATTACCACGTGCTTGGTGGTGAAGGAAAACATCGTGAGGAAACCTGCATGTCTGAGAAAATTTCGAAGGCATGTGAAGTTCACCAACACACATTGAGGGAGCGCGGCGGACATTTCCTTGCTCTAAAACCCTCTCAGAAATGAGAGGAGGCCTATGTTCAGCAGTGGACTTTAATAGGCTGTAACTTTAACTTTTTTAACTTTTATGATTAAGTGTTAACAAATTGATATTAACATGATAACTGTGTTGTTGCAGAAATCATTGAGCTTCGATGAAGATACCTATAAACAGTATTACTACTCGCCACTCTCCCCTCAAGAAGAGAGTGATAACCTCGTCATTAATAATAACACATGCGATGGTGGAAAAAGAAAATCGCAATCGATTGATCATTTTTTTGAAGCTGAATCAAAAATAAAAAAGAGGAAGCTGTTATCATCAACCGTAGCACGAGCCGCTAGAGATGGTGTATCATACATTTCTACTAATTCTGACGACGGAGACCAAGCGACGCATCTCATCAAAATTGAAATGTACGATATGAAGAAGCTATCCAAGATTCCAACTACTGATCATTGGAAACATGCTTCCACGAGAATTAAATATTACGTAAAGACTAATAAGGATAGCATCTACGACAATACAAACGCCCTCGTATACAATATAACAAAGACAATAGCAGAAAGTGAAAAAGTTAAAAAATACTTTTTTAACAATGACAGTCATTAGCTGATCATTAGTGAATGTGATTCTGTTTACTTCAATTACAGGAAGACAAGAGCGGAAGGAAGAGATGAGTGTGGCATACGTGTACAAAACACATCATTGAATAACAAAACTACAACACTGAGTGGAGAAGAAAACGAGAAGAGTATGCAGTACTCAAGAGCTGAATATCCATTCTTCAGTTCAAAATCTAGCCGTTTGCTTAGTTTCGAAAACTGGCCTCTAGTTATGCGACAGAAACCTGAAGATCTTGCCGAAGCTGGTTTCTTTTATACTGGCCATGCAGACGGGACCAAGTGTTTCCATTGTGGTGGTGGTTTAAAAGATTGGGAAGATGATGATGATCCTTGGCAGCAGCATGTTCAGTGGTTTAGTCAGTGTGCTTATGTAAAATTTCAACTCGAACAGTGTTTTGTATTAGATTAAATAGAAGATTTATAAAGAAATAAAAAAAATATATTGCATACAATTTGTTTTATTTAATTTTATAACGTTTCACATAGTTACATACACACAAAATGCATTACACATAACACATAAAATCTAACACACAACACATATTATAACCTTAACTACTATAGTTTACAGTAACATTTCTGTTTTTATCTATCTCAATAATATTATCAAACTCAGCATAAACTATACAGTTAATTGTTTGTATTAATGAGGATTCAAATCGTACTTCTATTCTTACACTACCATGCTTTATGAGATTCCAATGAGTTGATGAGTTAGCTGATAAATCAGGAGTTAAGTCAAATGCTAATAGACAGTAACCTTTGCCATACTGTTCACAAGAGATTCCATTTCCTTCATTAAGAAAGTGAATACCAGTTCCCGAGAATAGAGTATGATATGCTGATGTAAATATGCTATTATTAAAAGATGGTTGCAAAGCTTTTGAAGGTATTTGTTGACCATCAATATATAAGCTGAAAGAATTAATACCATAGTTTTCAAAGTTAAATGGATTTTTAGTAAGGGAACCATTAAATGCAGAATTGTTCACAAATCCAATTATACATCTTTTCGGTACCTGTCCTAAAAATATATTATCAAGAGTTTTTCCTTGAACACCTGAAGGAATTGTTAAAACTTTTACTTCAGCTCGAGTAATAGGATATTTAGCAGTGGTAGAAGCTAAAACTTTTTGATGTGCGAGTAATACACTTGGATTAATTCGTGCTCGTCGCACAATAAGAGTTGCGTCCGTAATGCAAACTTTAAACTTTACATCGTTCGACCCAACAATTAAATTAAAACTCTCTCTTGATCGAACCAATTTAACACTCATTTCAACACCATTAATTAAAAATTTATCTTGGTTAAAAATGTCACCGTGAAGATGACCAATCATTTCTATTTCCTTACTTTCACTAATCAATTCCTGTCTTTTAACAAATCCTATGTTTTTACCATCTGTAGAATCCATTTTTCCTGCTGTATCCTCATACCAAAGGCTACAAGTAAGATGAGATTGTTTAGCAGCAGGGGCATAGTTTAAAAGGGTTTCCATGTATGCTCGATATGCATAGGTATTATTAGGTGGTGATACAAGTTTTTGGTTTAAATAAACATCAAGTTGACTAAAAAGTGAATGCAGCCAATTATTTACAGGTGCTACTATTGTAGTAGATACCAAGTTAGTTGAATCTTGATTTAATACTTTTGCCTTTATGTGGAGTAATGTATGAGACAAATCTATGTAGTCATCGCCGGTCCCAGGAACTTGAAACTCGATAGGTCCATCATCACCAAGAGATGAAATTGGTTTATAATGAATCCACAATCCATTTTCAATGCTAGTTTGTGTAGACGGTAGTGCAAACAAATCCAATTCTGACTTAACGCACTCGCAAGAATGATTATGAAGGAAAGACATATTTAGTTTGAAAATATATCTTTGATATTTTTTGGTTTTAGACTAAGTTTTTTCGCAGCTTTCACTTTAGCAGTTAATGGTGGAATGAACGATGTCAATCGTTTTCTTTTAGTTTTATACCCAGATCCAGTCATGTTAAATTGATCAATTTTCTCATCAGCCTTTCGTTTTAAATTCGTACTAACTTGCTTTAGACGATCTTTTATTGAGGCTTCCATAGGACGGGCTTGAACCATATCCGATAAAAGTCCTACTCCAGCGCTTAATGCCTCCTTACCAATCACTCGAGCACCACTTGAAAGTAAAGGTAAAACTGATCTGAATAACCCCCCTAAGAAGCTCCCAATACCATGACCGCGTTGATATGGTGAACCCTTATAAATTACTCCAACTCCTGATCCAGCTTGATGTGTATAATAATTTTCATATGGACATTTATGATGATCACGAAGAGAATTCATTATTATAATTTTCGGAAATATAGTTTAATACACACGGTTCCAAACTGGAATGGTATTTTTTGTCCTGTACTCGATCTTATAACTATTTCCAACGTATCGAACTCTCTTCGCATAACAGGTAAGTAGTGAGGTTGAGAGAAAACGTGCATTTTATTTGCACCATAAATGTATTTTGTAGGATCTAATGAAATGACTCTTAATAAAGGAGTCATAACATCACCCACAATCTGAGGATCGATAATGTCGCAATATAGAAATAGTTGAGATGGTAACCCTAAGTGTAAATTAGCAGGACACTTTCCAAAATTTCTCTCTAGGAGATTTTTATTTGGTTCATAACCTAGCTGTAAACTTAATTTGGGTGATAATGTTACGGATGTTATATTTTTATCCAATACCGAAATAGACACAAATTTTGTTATTTCATCATAGCGAAATTTCAAGTTCTCTCCGATACCATTTAACACTCTTAAAATATGCTCAACGTTATCATAGTTGGTAGCTGGAATATGTTTTTTGTAGTACACTGTGGATGGCTTATCTTCATTAGGCATTAACATAGATTTTGTAATGTATATAACATTTTCATGGTCTTGAACAGTAAACATGGTACATGGATATTGAAACTCGACAACTCCAACCGACCATTCACCTTCTAATTTTATAGCTTTTGGTAATTTCGTTGAAAAATTTGTGGTCTTGTTATCAGGAAAGTATTCCATTGAACTATTGCTGAGCAAAGTTAAATAGAAACTTTCTTTATTCATATTTCTTTTAAACTAGAAGCTAAAATCCAACTGTTAAATTTATCTGGATAACCTTTCCACTTCACTAATACTTCTTTTCTGTTACTTGAATAACGAGTGTCAATTATTTTATCTATTTTATGTTGTGAGGTGGGGTTGTAAGTGATTTTCTGTAATTCTCTTTCATAAAAAGTACCAATTATTGGTTCATTTTGTAAATCTGTTATTGTATAAACAACCCATGGAGATCTATCAATTATTGAAGATATAATAAATATTTCATCACTCCAATTTGATTCATATCCTTTTTGGAATACATGTTTATATTTAGTTATTCGAACATAATCACCCACATTGAAATTTGGTTTAGGATTTTCTAAAGAAAGTTTTTTTGACCGTCTATCATAAAGATTAGTCCAAACTGTCATAATATTGTTGGAATTTACATCACATGGGCACATCTTAATACTAGAGTGAAAGCTGTGATTATAAGAGTATATTAAATCTTGTAAAACATCTATATATCTATAAGTATTATTATGAGTGAAATAACGCCACATTTTCATTTTTAGTGTTCTTTGAAATCGTTCAACAATACTGGCCTTAATGTCAGGATTGTTAGTGGTATAGTAATTAATCTTTTTGGATTTAAAGTATTTTTGTACATCTTTTGAAACAAATTCTGTACCTTTATCGGATTGTATGTGAGTAGGTGTTAAATTACTTTCAGTAAATATACTTTCAAAACATTCTTTAGTTGTTTCTGAGTTTTTCTTTTTCATTGGTCTTGCAAAAGCATATTTACTAAATACATCAATAATACAAAGTATATACTTGAAACCATCATTATATTGAGAATAAGTTCGCATATCACTTAAATCAGCTTGCCACAGTTCATTAATATTTGATAGAATGTACCTATTACGCGGGAATTTTTTTCGAATGGGTTTATGTAATGTGTATGTTTCTTGTGATTTTAACCATTCTTTTACTTGCTTTTTATTCATTTTACCCTTCATGGCTTTTGATAATTTATCAATACTACCAAAACCAGCGGGATTAGATGGATCATAATAAATCCTGTTAATTTCTTCTAGTACGGAGTCCATTTTTCCCACTCAAGTCCTTTACGTATTTTAGTTGTAGACTTTTTATCTCTACTGACCGGTGTAGAAAACTCTTGAACTTCAATCTCAGAGGGTTTGTTCAGATCTTTTGCTTGAAGTTGGTTAATAAACACATCTCCTTGGATTTCCAATATAAGTAAGTGGTACTTTAATATCTTTTAATGCTTCAGCAAATCTAACCCACCCTACCGGATCACTTCTTTTTAGGGGTCTTAGTGAATCATTTATTAAATCAACAATATTACTTCCAGGAATTTTTTCATTATCAATTATGACTGTACCTTCGTTATCCCAATGTATTTTACTTTTACTTGTTTCAACTAAGTTTAATAATAACTGCCCTTTTTTATGATAAGTTTTTGGTATTAAACTGAGTATTTGAGCTGGTGTGTAAAGTGGATTTTCATCATTTTCTTTACTTTTAATGGATCGATTCTCCTCCAGCAAAGATTCAATATCAACTGAAGTTTTTAGATCTCTATCTTTATTTTTAAAACCAATTTTTGACTCATTTGAATCTTCATTAGATGTATCAGAATAAATTGGTAATTTGAGTGGTTGACGATCCTCTTCGGTAAAATGAAGGTATCTTTGCAGTGTTTGTAAATATAATATCCATTTCTTTCGGTCTTCCGTCTTACTATTCATAATATTTTGCATTTCAATATCTAATCGAGATAAATTACTATTAACCTTATTTTCTTGTTTTAATTTTTCAATCAATCCAGGTTCGATAAGTATCATTTTCTTTGCATTTTCCATGTTAACTGGCTAGTCCACTCACTAATCCACTCAATGTTGCACCTAATATTGTTGGTAAGAAAGCCCCTCCTTTTTGTATAATTATATTTTTTCTTAGTTTATGTTTACACTTACGTACTAGTTTACGGAGTATGTTTTTATGTTTATTCAATTTTTGTTTATCCTGATCTTTAAGAGGTACTTTTCCTTGTAAAACGTTATGAATACACTCACAAATACAGTTAATTTCTTCTTCATCACACGTTTTAAGTAATGCTCTTTGATATTTTGGTTTAAGCGTATGCAAAGCGGTTAGCAAATGTTTATACGTTGTGAGTCGACGATGCATCATTTAGCAATGATTTCAATTGTTTGATTCTTGGTGTATTTAAACTCTTTTGTGGGGACGTAGACTGTACAGAAACCATTAAATGGAAAGACATTTGTCTTGATACGACAAAAATCATTGGTATTCTGTTTTAAATCTACCATTAAATATCCATGCGCCTCTAGAGTTGCATCCCTGTAGGCATTTTCAATGAATTTTGGGTTATCTGGTGATACTTGTCTTGCTAAATATCTTATTTGAGTTTTATCTCGAGGGTTTTTAAAATATATTATATAACTTGAGTTTAAAGATATGTCTCTTTGTCCTTTACCCTGATGAAATAAATTTTGTGTTAGATAAAATACACTAAGATTCCTCTGATGACTACCTTTTGTAAATATATCCACAATTCTTCCATCGGACTCTCTCATTAGATCATCAATAATAACAAGATGTGGGTTTTCACCATCAAACATATTAAGATTTGGAATTCCTTGATGATAGTTAACATTTGGTAAATTATATAATGGTTGCATTTCATCAAAGCACCATGTGATCTGATTAAAATCACAATTACATATTTCTGTAACTGATTTTATGAAATTTGTTACAAAATTTGACTTCCCACACCCACTTGGTCCTGCCACAATAGCAGTGAACGGATGGATAAAGTGAAACATAACACACGTCTAAAGTTCAAAGGGGTGAAATAAAAAATGAAAGTGTTGGTGTAAACAATTAATATATATTCCAAAAATTATATAAAACAGAATTATCTGTATACTATTTCTAACACAATTAGTACATCATAATTTTACAATTAACTCAACCTCAAATAAATAGAAACAACAATTAGTACATCATAATTTTACAATTAACTCAACCTCAAATAAATAGAAACAACAATTAGTACATCATAATTTTACAATTAACTCAACCTCAAATAAATAGAAACAACAATTAACTTAAATTATTTACAATAAAACAATGTTTAAATATGTAATAAACTACGTCATATTATAGTATTATCATAATTTTACAATCAATATAAATTTTTCTTAAACGCAGACATAAAAGTAAAAACTATCAACACTTAACGCAGTTTATAATGACCCCAAGCTAATGTTTCAATATTATTATCTAAAATATGTCTCTTTGTGTCATTATATGATAAACCTATCTTATTTAATTTTTGTGTGAAAATTGTGTGTTTAATTGATTTAAATCTAAGCATGCTATAATATTGCACTTTTTTATTAAATAGAGAAGACTTATAACTATTCATTGTCATCTTTTTAGTGATACATTTATTTACCCCTTTTGCCTTGGCTATAGTCTTATTCTCTAAGTTAAAAGCGTACATTTTGGATCGTAAACCCACAAATTCTTTCATGATTTTACCATTATTTTCATCTTTAAAAAAACCTAATTTCTTTTTATTTAATTTTGGATATTCAAAAATATTATTTGTATCATAATCTGAGGTATCAAAGTATGATGAAAGGTCAGGTTTTATATCAGTGTAAAAATCATTTGTAAATATATGATATATTAAACTATCCGTATCTGTATACAATAATTTGATTTTACTAAACTT